GGTGGGGGGGGGGGGGGGGGGGGGGGGGGGGGGGGGGGGGGGGGGGGGGGGGGGGGGGGGGGGGGGGGGGGGGGGGGGGGGGGGGGGGGGGTGGAAGTCGAAACTTGTGAGCCTCTATATCTCTCGAACAAAAAAATAAATCGAGGTCAGGTTTGAACGAAAACTTGTCTGAAATTGCATATTTTTAGTTTCTGAAAGTTAAAATCTCGAAATCACATTTTCAAGTTAACATATGTGCTTTTTTTTCAGTTTTTGTGTCGAGAAAATATATTTGAAACAAAGGATAAGAAACGTACTCAATTTTTTATTTGAACTAAAACCAGTTTTTTAAATTGTTCGTCTCTTCCTGCATCCAACGAGTGGTCCATCAAGCGGGGGAACCAAAGGATTCAAGGGTTATGGATGATTGAAGTTTCCGCTCTACGAGCGCCGACCGATTTTTGTACGTCAAACTATGGTTCCAAAGCCGGATGCATGTGTTAATAAATCAGATTAAATTTTCGAACCGTGCAAAATACACTTTTAGGGATTCTTAGGGTCGCGGAGTTCAGCTTTTTTCGTAATACAAGAATCTGTAGGATCCACTTTCTGAAAACCATTGTGGCTTATGTTTTCTTTGGTGTAAGCAGAGTTGCGTCGAGTCAAATGTTTTGCAGAGATTCCGTCATGTGCTCCGAGCAGGGCCGGATTTACCTATAGGGCACTGGGGCACTTGCCCATAGCGGCAAATTTTGGCACTGGATTAATTGAAAGTTAAAGCGAGAAAAAAGGAAAAATGGAGACAGAGACGGAGCGAAGTGAAAAGATGAGCGGCAAAATGTATGAAGGAAGGGAGTTGACGCTTGACGGGAGCGGCAAAGCTGCCGCCCCTTAGGTCCGGCCTTGAGCGCTAGGATGATCGTTCGTTGGAGTGTTACTAAACAACACGGCAATTTTAAACATCGAGGCAGACTTGACAATCAATTTAGACGTTGATGCTCTGGTTGACAGCTTTGCTAAACTGAAAACCCGGAGAAAAAACTTTGAACCTGATCTTCCGAAAATACACTGTAAGTAATACATTGAGCTACACTAGCTTCAACTTCGTCTTCACATTTTATTTTTGCCTCATCCATCCATTCCATTTTATATATTCGCGGCGCATTTTGAAGCAGCTACGCGCACGCGCCCAGGCGGCGCACGAGGGGGGGGGGCAAGATGAGGTGGCGTGGAAAGTTGGGAGTGCGGAGAGGGGGAGGGGGAGGAGGGGATACTGTTGACAATAAAGAGGCGAGATATTGCAGACCCAGGGGCGGCAAAATGTAGCTTGCCCAGGGGCGGCAAAAAGCTAAATCTGGCCCTGCTCCGAAGGTAGGGCTGACAAAAAATCCTGCCGAATTTCCATCGAGAACTGTCTGTTGCGCAGTGGACCACTAGACAAGGTACGAATTTAAGCATTCTGATTACTTGTTTTTTAACCAAAATTTCACGTGGAACACGATGCGCAGAACAAAAATTAGCGAAATCAACTCCTTACGAAGATATTTAATGATTCCTGATGCGTGAATTCAAACCACCCGCTCAATAAAACTCAATGCTCTACGTGATTCACATCGCGCGTTGAATATTATCGTGACAGTCTCTGCGATATGAAAATCTGGCAACCACAATTTTGACGCTTTGGCTCAGCTATAGCAAATTGCTTATCATTTGAACAACACATGGTGGGAAATGGAGGGTGCTCGATTGACAATGAGAGGCTTGCTGAAACTGTTGTAGTGCGCGCTTTGACTCACGTAGAGCTTTGAGTTTCTTGTGAGCGGGCAGTTCAAAATCCGCGTAACCAGTGTGAAATTAAAAGGTTAATATCTTCGTCAGGAGTTAGTTTCAGTAATGTTCGTTGCGCGAATTGTGCTCTACGTGAAATTCTGATTAAGAAACATGTATCAGAATGCTTGAATTCGTGCCTTGTCTAGTGGTCCGTTGAGAGCATCAATGTTCCCTTTCTGCAGACACTCCGCCCTCCACATCCGCAGAAGAATTTTCTGTAAGCCTTAGCCTTCCGGGCCAAGACGGAAACTTGTAAACTCAGACGCCCTTATTTTTTACAGCAAAATCTGCACCATTTCTCTTCTTTTGTCTATAGGATAAGGGATTCAAAGTAAATCAACAATAAGGTATACAAAAAATACTGATAAGAAATATCAAAATTACTCTGTGTAAAGCTTTATACTAATGTTTACTGCTCACTATGTTACATTAATTCCTGACTCAGGGCCGGATTTAGCTTTTTGCCACCCCTGGGCAAGCCACATTTTGCCGCCCCTGGGTCTGCAATATTTCGCCATTACAGGTCAACAGTATCACCCCCTCCCCGCACTCCCAACTTCCCACGCCATCAGTCTCATCTTGCCCCCCCCCCCTCGTGCGACGCGTGGGCGCGTGCGCGTAGCTGCTTCAAAATGCGCCACGAATATATAAAATGGAATGGATGGATGAGGCAAAAATAAAATGTGAAGACGAAGTTGAAGCTAGTGTAGCTCAATGTATTACTTACAGTGTATTTTCGGAAGATCAGGTTCAAAGGTTTTTCTCCGGGTTTGCAGTTTAGCAAAGCTGGCAACCAGAGCATCAACGTCTAAATTGATTGTCAAGTCTGCCTCGATGTTAAAAATTGCCGTGTTGTTTAGTTTCCCTTAGGATCACTCCAACGAACGATCACCCTAGCGCTCGAGGCCGGACCTAGAGAGCGACAGCTTTGCCGCTCCCGTCAACTGCCTTCCTTCATACATTTTGTCGCTCATCTTTGCACTTCGCTCCGTCTCTGTCTCCATTTTTTTCTTATTTCTCGCTTTAACTTTCAATTAATCCAGTGCCAAAATTTGCCCATCGCCAAAATTTGCCGCTATGGGCATGCGCCCCAGTGCCCTATAGGTAAATCCGGCCCTGTCCTGACTTTGGAGGCTGCTTTTTCTTCTAGGAAAAATAGAAGTGAATTGGATGGTCCAGGTAAAATTGAGGCCCCTGTATATACCTATATAGGGGCCCTATAACCTAGCTCCAGAAGCCTTTTTGAAGCAAGAGAATTCCTTTTCAATTACGAGCGTCAAAATGCACACCTCATTCTTACTTGATGGGAAAATTATTCCTTTATGGCCATTTGCAGCATTTATGACTATAAGTATAGCATGTTAACGGCCTAGACTTCTTCCCCAAGTAGACACGAACCATGCTACTGCGATGCAAGCACTCAACCCCCAGGCCATGCCAGTCAGTTGGTCTACATGCAGAAATTGCCAATATATAAGGCAATTAAAGTTCTTTCTCTCTCCACCAGAGCTGAGAGTAGATACGCATCGGTGACAAAGAATAAAGAGACTAACGTCAACAGAAGCGGAAGCCACCGCCATTTTCTTGTCAACGAAGCATAACAAAAGGAGACTTTTTCAATAAGTACTGTTTACGTTTTCGGTAGGTAGACGTTTTGGAGAGGTCGAATAATAACGGATACGTACGTTTATAGGAATTGAAAGAGTTTCCTCTTAACTTATTTATCGTTAAATCGGAGAAGTACTGTAAATTCTCTTAAAATTTAATGTTTTTTTTCCACTTTTATATTTGTAGGTAACCTCGAAATTGGTTTCAATTAGGACCGACTCAGAGGAGAAAAATTTTAACATTGGTTCTTACGGAGCTTTCGCTTCTGTTGACGTAGTCTATTTATTCTATGTCGGTGACACACTCCTGCTTACTGATGACCTGCAGCAGGATTTTCTGTCAGCACTAGCCTTCCAGGCTAAGGGAATCTCTGCTTAACTCTAACGCCAGTTGTGTCAATCTTAAGGGATAGAGTAACCTACAACTACTTTATTGAGACACTTTTTCTAAATAAGGGCATATGAGACTTTCAATGCTGCTAAGATTTTGCAACATACCTACTTCTCTGGTGGTGAGTAACTTATCCAAGGGTTCTACGAGGAATTTTTCCCTAAATCTGCTTAAAGTTTTGGCTCATGCCGCAATCACACGCTGAATGTGGCTTGAATACAAAAAGCATCGGCCCGATGCCTGAAAATTCAGCAACGATTCTCAACAACCATTGGATAATGTTGAATTTGTCTGACCTATTCGAATAGATTTGATACACATCTGGATGAAAATAACTCGAATTTGCAAAATTTCAGCTGTGGAGCGATGACTATTGACTTACATATTCAGCTGCCAAATTCAGCGTGTGATTCCAGCATCACTATTGTAAGGAAGTAAGTCTAATGTGAATGAATTCAATCTACCGCAAACACAATGAAAATTGCACAATCTTAGCACTGCAAGCCTCGTATGCCCTTTTACTGAAATTGTCCTTAATTAAAAATCTTGCAAAATAAAGCAGCACTTGGTTACCTACACTCTCAGCTAGTTTCAGCCTCAGTTCCTTGGCTTGAGTTTCCAGTAAGCTCTGGACGAACGATCGTTTGCCAGCCTCAGAGCCTAGGGGCATCGGCCCATACACATCATCTTCACGGTGACAGCTGGGAGTTTCGGTGAGCCCTGGAGGTTTTAAGGGTCCTATACGACATGGTAGGGATAATTTCTTTGAAACACTTTCATCATCGACATTTGTTTTAAAGTTAGGTGGCAAAGCTGGACCAAAGAAACCACTGGTTCCCCTTGATGTACTTTCCTTCAACCCATCAGACTTCTTAATTTCCTCGTCACTTCCTTCGTCTGTAGTGTTCCGTTTATGATTTGGTGGTAGATGCGGCCCTACAAAGTTCGCGTTTTGTTCTGAGATGGACATTGAGGACATTCACACCTGTAGTTTAGTTTGCACGATACGAAACGAAACATATTTCAAAGTTAAAACAATACCAATACACAGGTATGGAAAAGTTGAAAATTTCCCATGAGCCTCAGTGCGTGTCACATGACCTCGTGACGTAGGTTAAGGGGCCCGTTTTTTAATTAAATTACAATCAAATTAACATTCAAACGTTTGTGCGTTTAAACGCTAAAATTAATATCGTATAACCAAAATTGTGCAAAAAATCCCACAAAATTTTGACAAACGATCATAGAGAAAAAAAAGGAGGTGTTTGCATCTTGAGGATTTGTACCCACCTACGTCATCAATGTAAACAAGACGCTCGTTGAGGGTTATGTTGACGCTGTAAAAACTGACCATAATGTCCGATTGTTTTACTTAAATCAACTCTTTATATAATTTCAAGCACTTTTTATAGAATGACTTTTTCCCTTAAATTACACCATTTCCAAGAAAATCGACAGGATAAAAACGTCGCTGTACCCAATGACGTCATCAAAGCTATAGATACTCTATGAAAAATTCCAAGATGCCCGAAATGCAAACACCTCCTTTTTTTTCTCTATGACAAACGATAAACCGAACATAATATCAGAATAATCAAAACATACAAAATGGCTGACGTTAAGGGGCCGCTGGAGAGCCAATCAGAGGCCAGTTGTTTAGTTCTGTCCATACCTGTGTAAATCTACCTTGAAACAATACCAAAGACAAGATAGCAGACGGAGTGCTCGTATCTCAAGGCACGGGGAAAAAGTCAAAAGTGGCGCCGGGTGCTTGTGTGAGTGTGTAAATGAGCGCGGGAATCCATGGCGGCAAACAGAAATTTGATTTGAACTTGTCCTCTTGATTTTTCCACATTTCTTCTTCGAAACGTATTTTAAATGCCTAAGACGGAATATTTTAAGAAAGTTGAGACTGCGTCCTATTATGATACACTTACTTTTTCTTGGTAACAGGCAGTAATCTCAGATAAAGTTAGTTTTTCTTCTGCTCATGGTGGTTCCAAAAGTGCAGCCACCCTTCTGGGCAACTTCTAACACACAAAATTTCACTGCCAGCCTACAGATTTCAATTCTAACCTAGAGTACCTGTATAGCGAGAGTATGCAGGGCTGCCAGAAACGGGACTTGAGAAAGTGCACAGAATTTGAGTCCAAAGTACAAAATAATCCGAAATTTTGGGGGAAAGTACAAAATAATCCGCGAGAAAGAAAGTACACAAATAGTACACATTTTTTTCAAATATACACAAAAGCACGCCAAAAGTACTTGGAAGTCTACAATTTGATCCCACGATTGAGTAGAATTAGGTAGAATCAACCATTGAATAACAGAGAGGGATTTCTGCGGGAATTTTAGCCTAATAAATTATTTGCGCCACTAATTCGGCGGGAAATTTTAAAAATTCTTTGAAAACTCGAGATTATTTCCTAATTTTGAAAAAAATTGTACACAGAGTACACAAAATTCGGCGAAAGTACACAATTAATCCGAATTCTGAAAAGTACAAAATAATCCAAAACGAAAATCGATAGTACACGTGTGT